CCGTGTTAGCAACAACATTAAAGGCAAAAAAAGGCGAGCCCACCCGGAAAGGGGTCCTTGTACCTCTCGCTTGATGTGGAACCGACTGGGCCCCGCGCCCAGCTGGTTCTTCGACAGGTTCACGTCCAGCTTCTGGCACTCGGAAGCTGCAAGCTCGGCAAAGAAGGCCTGTCCAAGGCTTCGTGGCACAAGGACGAGTGACGAGTGGAGCTTGGATTCCTACGGCCCTGCGACTGAAATGCTCTGCGAAAGCCCCCCCAAAGGTGTGCCTCCACCAGAAACAGCTCCTCCTTCAGGCCGAGGTCGCTCAAGTCCCATTGCTCCTCCTACACCGACACCATGCCCGACAGCCAAAGCCCGACAGCACCAACACCTTACCTTTGGTTAGTAGGGAATGGAAGAATGGTAATAATGGTAATTAGTTATAGTTATACCCCATTCCTCCATTCCCTACTAACCAAAGGTAAGGAAAGACCGGCAGCGCTCTGCTCTCACTTCGAGAAGTCTGGTGTCCTCGCTGAGTCCGTGGTGCATGGCCAGCGCGACCTGCAAACCAACGGCCCCCAAAGCCAAAGCCCAGGCCGTCTTCGTGGACCCCGGAGACAAATCGTCAACATCATGAACCCGGGGCTCTGGTATGTTCTTTTGCTCGACTTGTGCTGTGGGCCTGGTCTTCCTGAAAACTTTAGACAATCGCTTGGACCAGCGACGGTACAAAGCACTGCTTGCCTTCCAAAGTCTGATGAGATCATCGTCTCGCTCCACGCCGATCTCCTGGCAAGGAAGCGAGGTCCATCCCCCCTTGGTGCTTTCTAGATAAAGCGGCCCCTGCACTCAAACACTGTCTGGGTGGCTTCAGCTGCACGATCCGGCAGGGCCAGGTGGTCCATGCCCTAAAAAGGGGTGATGATGGTTGTGGGATACGGGCAATACTCAAGTATGTCTGGATATGCACATCACTCCAAAGTAGCCCACTGATTTCAACGCAAACACCCCAAGCAAGGGCAAGTAGGAGATGGCACATGTCGGCAGCTCCTTGCGGTGCATGAATGCCACCGCTTGCCGGAAGAGCCCTTTGTCGAATTCAAAGTCCGCCTTCGCAAGGGCAGGGATCCTTCAGGTGGCGGCGTAAGGCCAGTTCTAGGGATCCCCTCGACGCGCGGGGAAAGGATTCAGCATGTCGGATGGAAACATCAGAGATTTTGGGAACTGTGGAGCTGTATGTGACATTATGTAATTATTGTGACCAAATACTTGCCGGATGCTCACGTCAAAGGATTTCGGGGCCAAAATTCTCAAGCCTCGGAGAAGCTTCTGCTTCTGGGCTGGAACCTTCCAGGGCCTGCTTCAAAGTCCACCTGAATTTCCTGCTTTGTGGCCTTTAAACCATCTGCAATTCCTTTCGCATTCTGTGAACTTTCCCTCGCCGTTTCGGATGCCTCGCGCCAGAGGCGCTGTGCCAGCAGCTGGTCCCCGGCCCTTGCCGCGTTTTTGAAATGATGGACAGAGAGGCGAGCTAGGCCCGCCAACCCCGACTTACCGAAACAATGTCGGGCTCCCTCAAGCGGTTCTGCCAGGGGTGTGCAGGGGCTTTCATGAACCCTAGAAAAGACCAAGTCTAAGCGCAGGCCGCGCGCGACCTGAGCAGTGCTCGAAGTCTTCGCCCGAAGAAAGGAGCGACCTGTGCAGATCAGATTCGTGAGAACCCCACCCACTGGGCTACTTCGGTTTGCATTCAGTCTGTAAGGGCTGGGGCCTCCGGGAAGATGCAGCTCTGTGCCTCTGTCTGTCTCTCCCTCCCTCGGATTCTTCCCCGTTCCGCCTGGCAGACTGAAACACTGATTTCAACAGCAACCGACCGTAGCTCCAGGCTCGATACTGTCCTCTGGTTTCACATTTCTTCGCAGGTCTGGTCAGAAGCCCGCACGAACTTGCGGACAGGTAAGCTGCATGGAACTGCAGCGAGCATGAGAGCAGGACATTCACACAGGGGGTGGGCGGCTGAGTGATTGAATCAATGATCCAAGCGAGCGATGGAAAGCACCGTTTTCTGGATCCTATTCAGGAGGGAGTTGCTTTCGACCGGGGCTCTGACCCGACATCCTTCCCACTGAAATCAAAGGCAGCTGCTGTAATGCACGCATGGCCCTTACGCAGACCCATCCCGGAGAACTGACAGGCCGCCTGCGCACGGACCGTGCCGAAAAGCAGGAATGCGAGCGCAATCTGCAGCAAAGGAGAGGTCTGGTCAAGCCACATGGGTCTATGGATTCTCTGAGGAACTTCTTGCCGGGGCAGAGGGCATGATTTGGATTGCATTTCCCCTTGCTGCTGGCACGCCCAACCTGCAGCGTGGGAATGGCCAAGCTCAACACAGTTACCACGATAGATCCACCCTCATAGCCTTGGTGTTGCATGAAGGACCGAGCCAAACTAGAACGAGTGACTGTGCACTTCCTAAACACATCCGGATTCGGGATACATCTGAACGTTGTTCCTTGACGCTCCTGCAACATTTGAGTACAAGCAACGAATGAAGATGATGGCGCAGATGGCTTGCGGGACGTTCTCGAGGAGAAGGAGGCGCCTGGCAAGAAGGTGGACGCAGCTTATGGGAAGCGACAGGAAGAGGTTCTCCCATGATGTGCCGCGCATCGACCACTAAGGCCTTTTTGTTGGGGTGAGCTGCTTATACAGCAGCACGAGGAGCTCATCCCGGAAAGACACCTCGGCTCCTTCAAGGCCGCGAGACTCCGCCCAGGTTTCGAACGCAAAGGTGCCTTTGGCCCTGGACAACACAAGCCCGACAGCCTGTGTCTGGGGTGAGGAGCAACACGGAGAGGTGTGAGGCCAGAAGCTCCGCAGTAGTGTCCTGCCAAAGCTTCTGAGGGTGGACGGTGTGCCGCCCCATTGGGGCTTTGCTTCTCCCTATCATGAAGGGTCCGAGTTCTGTTCTTCCGAGCAAGGAGTCCTCGAAGGCGAAGCAGACCACATGGACACCCACCAGCCACAGCAGGGAGAAAACGCCCATGACTTGAATCTCCACATGCTCGGATTCCATGCAGAGAATGCCGAACATGACGTCCTGTTCGGAAGGATCCGATGCGATGCCACACGCCCCAACCCCGGGATCGGCGCACGAGAGGTGAGGATCTGCGGCTCCACAGACAAAAGCACTTTCGAACTCGATTCATGCCCTGATGCTGTCCGAGGTTGCTCGTCCCGGATTATTCTGAACAACGCTTCGAGATGGCAACTTCATGCAACTGCCATGGCCATGCCGCCGACATCCTACAACCAATGATTTCGGCGCACTCGTGAAATACTCGATCGCACTCTGGTCAAAAAATCCCCCATACCCTTTCGACGCCAGCCGAGGTGAAGTCTACTTCGAAAAGCCGCAGGCTTTCAGCAACCACTCTCAGATCCTTGAAGGTATCATATTGATCCGAAAGGACCGGGGCCATGCCGGTGATGCAGGCCTGTTCCAAGTTTGGGGCTATGGAGTTTTCTCAAGATCGAGCTTCAGAATTTGGGGCCCTTGCCTAAGGGCAACTGATGCAGGGCCCAAGCTTGGGTTCAGTCTCAGGGTGGGCATTGTGCTTGCAGCTTGTGGGGATTGGGCGGAAGGCTGTCGTACCGGACTGATGGAACGCTGTTTCTCTAAAACCGGTGAGGGACATGCAAGAAGCCATCAGAGCCAGAGCAGCATCCACAAGATGGCAACGAATCCCAAACGTCCTGGCACTTGCATGTTTGCAGGAGGCGAACCACAAAGAGATAAAACAAAACACATAGAAAGCCTACCTACATCACCGTAGCCCCACACCACTGAATTCCTACCCAAGAAACCCGGAAGTCGTGGCTCCCGGAACCTGAGCACGCAGCAAGGCGTCGACGCCGGAACTACAGCAAAAAATACCTTTGTCCCACAGTTCCCTCGAAACCCTTTCAACAGCTTTGCGACCGAGCCTGAGCGAAAGCAGTAGCTCCGAACTTCTCACCGGGAGGAAGGCGTCGTGCCATGATCAGAGCTTGCAAGACCTGCACATCAAAGAAATGCACGATGTGCAGACCTCCATGATGGAGTGAAATGCTGCCTCTCGGCGTTATTTGGAAGAAACGAAAGTCTTTGGCGGGAGGGAGCCCAGCTTGGGGCAAAAATTCAGGTGACATGGAGGCCATGTTGAGGCTCATGGTTCTGGTCCATGCAGGCAAAACTCAAGGTTTGCCAGAACCCCTGAACATTCCCCCCAGTCTCAAACCTCTGCGCCTTTCGACAACATCTGTATCTAATTGCTCAACGATATTCGGGTGCCCACCAGCGCCAGGCCACTGCACGCCAGGAGGCCAGTATACACCTCACAGGCGATGACTAAGACTCTGAGGATGTGTTCAAATTTGCTGCGGCCTAGCCCCGACATTCCACTCCAGAACATCTGAACCCAGCCACTCTGCGATCCCTGAACGGCTCACCATCTATTAAACAGGCTCGCCATGTAAGCCCACAAGACGCTGAAGCTCCAAAGTCTGAAACTCAAGGCCTACACCTAGAAATTGCCGAAAATTTGGGCCGCCTCAATCGATTCGAGCAGGCGGGTCATTCTCCACTAACTATCTGAGAAAAGGGCTCCAAATTAGTAGAGGGACTGGTAGCTGCACATGCGTGTGGGTTTCGAGTAACGGCTGTCGTTCCCGCGAGCCGGTGAAGTCCAGGGCTTGGGCATGCCCTGTCTCTACGATTCCAAGTCTTGTAGTAGTGAGTCTTATTCGGGCTCCAGCTTCAACTGTTCCCCCCGTTTTAGCTTGAAGTGTTTCCATGTGACCTTGAGCCCTGGCCGAACCGCTTTCAATCCGTGATGACCAGTCACATATCAAAAACCACTCGTCGACTCCACAGCGAAAGCAACTTGAAGGGCCTCGCAGCTTCCGTCCCGAAACATCCAAATGCTCTCTCAGGCATTTTGAACAGCCAGAATCCCTGCAAGGAGAAAGGGAACTCAAAGATTCAACATCGCCTCCCAGTCGGCACCATAGTCTTTCGACAGCCTCCGAGGTCGCTCAGTCGATCAGGATTGAATTCTTTAGCGGTGCTGGGGTGATTCGGGGGTTGGTGTCAGGGACTGGCGATTTAGATTTTGGGCTACAGGGGCTGGCATCGATCACCACAAGGCCCTGCTCACCACGCCTATGTCAAGTTGTGGTCGTATGACTATCCGGTTGAAGGCTTCTGTGAGAGATGGTTCTGCACAGCTAAAACAAAACATGCAACAACGTCCTGGCAGTCAGGAGCCTCCCCGTGCGGCTGCTCCAGGCCAAGACGGCGAAGCTGGTAGAGAAAGTGATCATCAGAGAGATCGCAAGGAACACCTGGCAGGAAACATACGAGGGGCAACGGAGTCGATTCGGGCTTGCTGTTCCGGCCCGCCCGTGCCCCTTTCACCTATGTTAGAAGCTTGCGCTAACATGGGTCCGCGAATTCTCGCAGAAGTAGCGACAAGAAGGAGTGCCTTTAATTGCAATGAGTGAACAGGGTGAGCCGAGGCACGAATCAAAGGAAACAAAATAAAAAGGAAACGAGCATGTGTGGACGAAACCATGAAATTAAGCAGGTGTTCCTTTCATTAGTGTATGTTACCCGAGCTTTCATTGCGTTGTTTGACATTAGCGAAGCACGCATGATTTCATTCGTGCCTTCGTTTCGTTAATGCCATGCTCAGTTTACATGAACAAAGCACACATTCCATTCCACTGTCGCTTGATTTTGTTCATTTAACCGTTTGCACAACACTCACTTAACACTCGTAATGAGACGAGGTGTGCGAAGTGAAGAAACAAACGTCCGAAATTTACAATATGAAGATAATGCAAAGAAGTGAAGGCATACTTTGCATTATTTTTGTTTGATCTTTTGTCCATTCGCCTGGCCCGTTGTAGTTTCTCTTCTTTGGTTCGTTTGTTCGTTGTGTTTGATTCATGCGCTACGTTCGCTTTTCATGTATAATTACACACCAAGCACGAACCAAATGAAGAGAATGATAGCGATCTAGCTCCTGGAGCTGTGGTTTAATGATGCAGCTCTTGGGAACAGGAACCAAGAGAGGAACGAACGAGATAAAGAAAGTGATAGAATGCTTCTTGGATGATTTGTTTCTGGGCAGTAGTTCTTGGTTGTACAGACGGTTGTGTGTAAAATCCTGGTGCATAAAGACCAAGCTTTGGCTAGCGAACGAAGTGAAAGAAATGAGCGCAAGGATGTGTAAGGAATGCACGGCTCCTTTCACTTCACTTCACTTCGTTCCCTCAATGCAAAAACCCGTGCAAGTGTTGACAGATGCGATTCCCCACGCGCCCAATCCTCTGTGAAGCACTGAACAGAGCCGAGCCCCACCTTGAGAGTCCGAGGTTGGAAGGACATGGTCACAGCGGATCGATCGACTTTTCTGTCCTCTTCCTCTGCAAGGGAGACCACACGGGAGGCCACCTTCACCGTAGCATACTCGCCTCCTTCGGGGACACAGAAGCCACTCACAATCGAAACGTGGAGATTTTGAGATTCACGGTGCGGGATCTAAGGCGGCAGTACAACTCAAACTTTTATCCTGAAGCCAAGGCCTCACCCAAACCCAGGCCTTTAGCGTCCGCTAGGCGATCGCGATACCGTTACCAGTTCGGCGGGGCCTCCTAGGGTTCAATCGTAATCCCTGACTCCTCCCGGAGCTGAATCCTGAAACTTGGCGCTGCAATAACAGATCACGCGTAAATCGCGCTGACGTCCGTGTTGAAACAGCCTCGGCCTCTGCCTTATCCCCAAGAGCTCGTAATAACTAGTAACTTAACTAGCTGGCTCCACCTGAGCCCGGATCGAACAAAGACACCTCGAAACGCGAAGTCAGTGTAACCGAAAGACTGCACAAAATAATTCCTTTAGGGGGAACCCAGTCAAGGGAACTGGTCCGTCCAAACCAGAGCCCAGCCTGGTCGTCCCGGACCCCGTTCAGCGCATTTCAGGATTAACGTGCCAGCGACCGCCACAACCAAGGCGATGCCAAGCATTATCAGTGTCCAAACATGCCACCTGAGAGAATGGGCCCATACTAATCGTCCGAAGGTGACAGGCCGGCTTCGGGTTCGGTCCTTTCTTCTCCGGAAGAGAACCTTGTTGCAAATACTAGGAAACTGGACCCCCCTTCATCAAGCCCAGATGCACACACGAGCTCTCCACGCTCAGGCCCATTTCCCTGGTAACCCCCTCAACCCAGCGGGAGCCTCGCGGCGGACTCGGGTGCCTCCATGTGGTCCAGCTCTTTGACCGTTGGAAGAAAGGGCTCTTCGACCAAAGTGAAATTGTTCCATCCTCTGGTACACAAACGGAAGTATGTTTGCTCTTTTCTCCGGAAGCACTTTGCAAGAGAACGACTGAATGACCCCCGGCCTGTGATGTCCGGGAACAGGAGGCACTCCACCACCTCCATCAGAGCGACAGAAAGGAGCTTCATCGCCCTCAAGCTGCAGAGGATCTTTGCCTCTGCGAGCTTTCAAAGTGGGACCTTAGGTCTCACTTCCTGGACAGAGCCATAAAGCCAGCGAAAGCAAAGCTTCAACTCCAGTGAGCTTCAAGGAGGAACGGAGGGCATGTGGGGGTTTGGGGTTTGTGCTGCAGCCGGACATCAGAATAAAAGCGTTTGAAGGGAAGAGAAGGGACAGTGGCCGGAGTCAAGATGAGACAAGCTCCACCCGAAAGTCAATGTATCCGTTGCCGACCAAAAATACAGACAGAACCAAAGGCCTCGCACAGCTAATCTGAAACCATGAACCACCAAAGGTCAAAACTTACTTTTCTGTTGAGAATCTCACGTTTCGGGCCTTGAAATAACTTGTATTTCATATAACGTAATATCATATCGTATGTCCACTTTCGGGTTCTAACAGCGCGCTCGGCCTTGCACGTTCAGCTGGTGCCCTGAGCTCTTGGCTCGCCGGGAGCACCGTCCCTCATGGGCACGAAACTCTGAAAAAGAAACTGCCAAGAACACCCCGAGCAAGGAGTGCTTTCCGGTCTGGACGACCAGCCAAGTCTGCTTGAGAGGCTTGCGCAGGGTCGGGTTGCCATTCCCTCTCCCTTCACTCCTCCCCGCCGACGATTCACAGAAGCGCAGGGTACCCTCAGGCCTCCATCTCCAGGTAATTTTCCTCCCAAATAGGAGAAGACAGCAATGTGCAACAAGACGGGGACGGCGCAAGCACCGCGGATCCAGCCGCCTCTAAGAAAAGATATTGCGCTTGCTGCCACCTCAACTGGATCATCATCGGTGACTGGAATGCTCACCTGCCGTCACCTGCCTCCCCGACTTCCATTGGCGGGGAATTGGTCTGCTCCTCAATGCCCACGATAGGCAATGACAGCGGCAATGTGTCGGACTATGCGAGTGTCAGCAGGAGCTTGAAGGTCCTTGTCTGTCTTGATCAATGTTGGAAGGTTCTTTTCCGCACTGTGCGCTCAAACTGGCTGTCGGGACCCAGCGCCAGCTGCTGTACCAAAGCCAACCGAACAATCTGGGCTGTCTTCTTGGACAAAGGCTGCCGAAAATCCGGATGATTGGGGTTCACTCGGAAGCATTTGTATCCATCATCGTGTATCATAACAAGAAAGGAGAACCATGGTTTGGAACTTCGAGCAACGCCCAGGTTTCGTGTTAGCCCCCCGAGACCAAGCCTGGACTTTCACTCCGTCTGGGTGCAGATCCTGTGTCTTCCGTGACATAATAGACACGTCCGCTGCTGCCATTGTCAGGGCACTCATAAGCACTGCAAGCGGCAAAGGGCTTCCTACCATGGGACAGTCCATGCGCGCCGCGACATGCCCATCGGGTCTGCACAAGTCTACGTCCAAGGAGAACAAACTTTCAACCCAAACTAATCCGGCTTTTGAACCCGACATTGGCTCGGCTCCAGGGTTTGAACTCGCACCGAAGCTAAGCCCGTGCAGCTTGAGCCCAGCATCGGGGCGTGCAACGCGCATTGCGCAACGGATGCGGCCAGAATTCGTGTCGCAGAAATCTGCTGAACTTTCCAACAGCGGACTACGTGGAGCCCGCCGCTTCGGCCGGATCAACCTTTTCAGCACGCCTCGCGACTGAAACGACTGCCGTTCGGTTCAGGAGATGCTTGCTTCAGCACGATCTCCGTGTCCAGGTACAATCTTCAACATGCTTCAAGATTCGAAATACAAGTAGCAACAGGTCTGTGTCTATGCTGTTGGGATCCGATGCCGGCTGGAATCATTGGCTCCCCAAGTGTTCTTCTTGCGAACTTCTGTGAAGACTTCTCATGTCTCCAGATTATTCCAAGGGCTTCGAATCGCAAACCTTCTGAATGCGCAGAGCCGTCTCCGACGGTTGCAACAGCATCCCCGTTTGCGCCCGAAAGCGGGCATCACCGGACATACTCGATAAGCTTGGTACAGTTACCACGTCTCAAGCCGGCTTTCGAGCAGGAAGCTAGGACAAGAGAGAGGCATGGCGCCCATCTCGAAATCGATCGCGTGTTTTAAGGCTGCAGCCTGAACAGTTGAGGGTCCGCGGATCTGCATTTGCGGGCCTTTGGCCTCTCAGCATCGGAACGCCAACCCTGAAGCCGGCCATCCTTGGTTGTTGCAAGTTCGAACCTTTCTGGTGCAGTCGCCTTCTCCTATCGCAAGCCACCCGCATCTCTACTACCAGAGCAGCCTGCTACTCATGCTCACACAGCATGATGTTGCTTGCCATCGCGGCCTAGGAGTTGCACTCTGCTGCAACATGTATATACATATATGTACATATATATATATATGTATATACCTATATATATATATATATATACATGTGTATATATATATATACATATATATATACATGTAAATATATAGACATATACATATATATAGACATATACATATATATATATATATATATATGTGCCCGATACCTTTAGGGTCTATATAACCGCGGTTTGTTGTCTTCAGCACATAATGGAAAGCAAAATATAAGGTATAAGCATAGGCCACATTACAAAGCCACGACCTGAAAAGTTTCGGATCGACTAGGATATATTTTTAACCAATAATTATATCAAATTACTCGCATTCAGGGAGACGAGTATTATATAAACAGAACATCGAGTGTTGATCCCAACACTGTCGATGAATAAACATTCGTTGTGATGACACATTTCAGTGTATAGAGTCCATACATCTTGCAGGAATGATGTATCGTCGTGTAGATGTGCATAGCACTGTCAGCAGTATATCGGCAACATGGACAATTGTCCTGTCCAAATATTTCACAATTCGACTTATTGTTGACTTGCCAGCGCTTGAGTAATTGCATACAACATATCCATCCAAGAATCACGTAATAAGCATGCACACTGCAATATGGCATAAATTTGTTTGTAATTTCCGCACAGGCCAGAATGCAAAACCTGACAGGTTCGGTACTCATGAATCGGATGTGTTCATATGACAAATTATGGGAATACATACGGCATGACACATCCATATCACATGATGCTGTCGCAACACTTGCTACAACTCGTTGCCTGTTATATTCTGTTGTTACATATGCTACACATATCTACTGAGGCAAGCCAGGTCCGAATAAACTAGTTCCTTGTCAATAGGGTTTCAATAGGAGGAGTGCATGTAATGTATTGGTTCGCCCTGTCCAGGAAGTGAAGAGAAACATTATAGCTCCTGCAATGTGCCAGTTTCTTCTGTCCGTAAGAAGGGCTTTCCGATGTATCAGCTTCATATCAAGAGGGCTTCAGTAGGATGAGTGGGCGTGACAGGTCAAAGGCTTGCAATGTGTCCGTTTGTTCTGTCTGGGGGCTTTCGAATGTATAAGTTCCTCGCCAAAAGAGTTTCGATAGGCGGGAGTGGAGTGACATATTAGAGAGTCTATATTCTGTCAGTTTGTTCTGCCCAGGGGCCTTCCAATATACAGGGTCGCTTCAGTGTATAAGTTCCTTGTCAATAGGTTTCCATGGGGAATGGAGTAACACATTAGAGGGTCTGTAATGTGTCAGGTCGCTGTGTCCAGGAGCCTTCCAAAGTAGGATTTTCCTTGTCAATATACTTTCAATAGAAGGGATAAAGTGACACATTAGAGGGCTTATAATGTGTTAATTCGTTATGCCCAGGTCAATAGAGTTTGAACAGGGGGAGTAGAGTAACACTTTACAGGGCATGTAATGTGCCAATCTGTTATGTCCTGGACTTTCCAGTGTATAAGTTCCTTGTCAGTAGAGGGTCAATCGGAGTGGGTGGAGTGACACATTAGGGTGCCTGTAATATGTCAATTTGATATGCCCAGGTACAGGGGCCTGACAGTGTATAAGTTCCTTGTTAGTAGGGTTTCAGTAGGAGAAATGGAGTGACACATTAGAGGGCATGTAATATGTCAATTTGCCCAGTCCAGGACCCAGGAAGTGAAGATACACATTATAGTGGGTTTAATGTGCCAGTTTGTTATGTCCATAAAAAGTGCTTTCCGATGTATCAATTTCTTATTATCAGTAGGGTTTCAATAGGATAGGTGGGGCGACACATTATAGGGCCTGCAGTGTGTCAGTTTATTATGCCCAAGGGTTTTCCAGTGGAAAAGTTCCATTGCAATAGAGGTTCCATAGGAGGGAGTGGAGTGACACATTAGAGGGCCTGTAATGCGTCAATTTACACTACCCAGAGGCCTTCCAATATACAGATGCCCTACAGTGTATAAGTTCCTTGCCTTTAGGGTTTCAATAGGAATAATGACACATTAGAAGGCCTGTAATGTGTCAGTTTGTTTTCCCATGTGCCTTCCAATGTATCTCTATACATATCAGATCTGATATGAACACAGCATTAGCCAAGAAGGATATCACGTAGTTAATAGTCTTCACGATCTTAACAAAGGCGCAATTATCCGTATCGAAGGTATACATTCCCATGAAGAATCCATATAGATCCCTTCACAGATCCCTTGTATGGAGCCCTCATAGACAGCCTTTATAGATTCGTATAGAAACTTTATAGATCCCCTATATAGAGAACTTATAGAAACCCCGTATAGATCAACAAATGGAGTTCTTTGTAGAAAACTTTACAAGATCCCTTACATGGAGCTTTCATAGACAACTGCTATATATTCCTTACCCTTTGTAGAAACCACATGGAAGCCCTGTATAGATCCCTCGTATGGAGCCCTTCTGGAAAACCCTTACAGATTGCTTATAGAAATCTTATAGATCCTCTATGTAGAGACCTTATAGAAATCCATTATATAAAAAACTATAGATCCCTTACAGAGAGACTTTCTAGACACCCATTATGGATCCCTCATATGGGGCCTTTATAGTAAGCCCGGTTACAAAGTATGTAGATGCGATGTGGTAAGCTATTCTTGATATAGTAGTTAAGATAAATCGATTGTATTATGGTTCGTACAATACCTAT